AAAGAATTAAGGTGTGTTATGTATGTGTACCAACTCCCCAGTAGGGTGGTGATCATTATGGACTGCGGTCACCTACTCATTTTTTTTTTTTTTTTTGGATACTGGGACTCAAACTCAGGACTTTGCGCTTGCCATGCAGGTGCTTGTGCCGCTGAGCTATATTCCTGGCCTGGTCACGTACTCATAAAAGCAAAAATTAAAAAAAAAAAACGATTCCATCTTGAAAGAAATGACCTGCTTCCTCCTGCTCCGTCTCACCAGACCTTTAAAGGTAGATAGTGCAAGCACCCTGCTTACTGTTGCCTGGCCAGTCTAATGTAGAAGCTGGCTTATCGTGGGCACGTGGGAAATAAGCATTAATGCATGAAAATAAAAGACATGGGAATGCAGCCGGCCTTTAATCTGGAATTTATCTGTGATGCTTTGGCCAGTCACCAAACAGTGGGAGCTGGCCAGGGTCCTGGTAAAAAGCAACACAGACGAAATCGGGCAGCCTTCTGTCTCAGGCTCTGGGCTGGGATCCTCCATTCTTCCGTCCCTTTCATCTTTCTCGTCTTCCATTTCTCTTTCCAGTGACCCTGAATATTGTCCGGATCTAGGCTTTATTTGACCATGTCAAGCAAGTAAAAAAATGATGCCGCCTGTGCTGGCACATGCCTGTAATCCCAGCATTTGGGAGGCTGAGGCAGGAGCCTCGCCTGGAGTTTGAGGCCAGGCTGGGGTACATAGTGAGTTCAAGGCCAGCCTGAACTACATAGCAGAGATCCTGTCTCAATCCCCCACCCCCGCAATAAAACAATCTATCTCTAGAAATCTCCTAAAATACCAGTCAATAATTTATTACAGGGCAAAAAGTAGTTAGCAAGCATACCATACGTAGTAAGTAGGTGTTTGTTGGGCCCTGGTTTCTTTAAGAACTTCCGGATGATCAGCCACATTTGACATTAGAAATATTTTCTGGTAAGATCTTGGAATGTGGTTGATTCAATCTAAAGTCATTCCTTGGGCTAGCTAGGCATTTACTTTGTAGATTTTTTTCCTTAGAATAAATTATGTGCTGTATTGGATATCAGAATTTTCCTTAAAATGTTTTTATTATTCTGTATGGATACCATTATTCTAACAGCAGTTTTCTTAATTTATTTTTATTTTTATTTATTTATTTTTGGTACCAGGAATTGAACTCAGGACCTTGCTTACCAGGCAGGCACTTGTGTCACTGGGCTATATCCCCGGTCCATTTTTCTTTATATGGTGAAGATTATTCAGTCAACTTATGAGTGTTTCTCACATATGCACCAAAAACTGTGCCATGGTGTGGTTCTCAATTGTGCAAGACTCAATAGAGGGGCGTGGTGGTGCACTCCTGGAATCCCAGCACTGGGGAGGCTGAGGCAGGAGGGTCCCAGTGAGTTTGAGACTAGACTGGGGTACATAGACTACAAGACTCTGTGTCATAAAAAAAAAAAAAAAGAAAAGAAAAGAAAGAAGAAAGACTAGAGCTCTGTTGCAGCAGAGCCTGTAGTCCAGTAGAAGAAATAGATTACAAATAAATAAATAAATATAAAATGCTCTAAGTGTTAGGGATGAAACAGAATGAAGTGAGGGGAAGAGGACCTAGCTAAGGTGATCAGGGACAACCTCCCTGAGAAAGTGATATTTGAACCGACAGTTAAAGAACGAGAAAGACGCTAGGCCTCAAAAATGGGATCACTTTCACCGTAAATCAGTTAAAAATAAACTCCACTCCTCCCCGCCGCCAGGTTGTACGTGCGGGGGTAACAAGCTTCGTTGCCAGCACTAAAAATGGCGGGCGAGGGCGGGGCGAGCGCGTGCCCTCATTGGCTGGCTTGCGGCCGACGTCACGCGGCGGCGGCGGAGCATCCGGGCTCCTGGCGGCGGCGGTGCGGAGG